TGATGTGTATTTTTAGTTTCAAACCGACGTAAAGCCACTATATCAAGGTTTTTGAAATATCCGCTCTATACGTAACATAGCGGTAGAATGCTTTAATTTGAGAATCTTGATATAGCGACTTTAGATCGGTTTGAAACTAAAAATACACATCACTACATGGCCGATTACCCCTATCTTGATCCATCTTAGGGTCACCCAAGGTCAACTGGCCGAAATCGGGGCTCTCGAAAGAATGCTTATAGCTCCTGAACTGTGAGAGATAGATAGTTAAGACTGGTCTAGAATTGCAGATCTCGGTTCGGGTTATCGATTGCGTTGTTTGAAAACCAAAATACATCTTACGATCCAGGGACGATGATCTTGTAGACTTTGCATCGAAAGTCTTACCGTGGTAAACCTTACCTGGAAGCCTAGTCTTTGCATACGCTTACGTCCTCCGATGTTCTCTATCCAGCGGTGAAAACCACATGTCTATAGCTCTTTCCCTTTAAAAGTTATGAGCAAGTAAACTCATATTTCTTTAAATAGACATCGGGAATGAAGGGGTTAAGTTATCATACTCACGGCGGTTAAAAAACTCATCATCAGATAGTATTTTTTCCTACCTAATTTGTTCGTTGTTGTATTTATCGTAGCGTACAATCTGGTAGTGGTCAACTTGTGGCTAGTCTCTATACACAACGACAAGTTTCATATATAGGAAAATATTTATTAGATACAACAACAACTGCTAATCATAATTTACTTTATTATTCATCTAAAAAATTAAAACAATTACCACAAATATTATCACATGATCTATTTGAATTAAACAAAAATTTATTTTATTTATTATCCGGTACAATATATTATAATGGAATCATTGGTAAGTATATAAAAACTATTGCCAACTTGGCATGTTCAGCTACTATTTAGTTTAGCTGTTAGTCGAGCACTACAATATGAGATACTATTCTTATTTTTGTTTCTTTCAATTCGTATTCATCATCTTTAGGTGTCATTGCAGAGGGTATACCATTTACAATTCTACTCATAAATCAAGGTGGTATAAAACTTGTTCCACTAATTTATTTTTATCAACTATTTTTTTCAATTATAACATTTTTCATCACAATACCATATCATCGTTCAAATCTAAAATTTGAAAATTTATTTACATTATTTATTAATCAACAAAAACGTATTGATTTACAAGCAGAACAAATTGCATTATCTGATCAAAATGTTATTGATGTAGAACAAAAAAATTTAATAGAAAAATTAGATCAAAGTGTTAAGTAAGCGATGGGAGAGCACCATGAATAAGCAAGGAGTAGTAGTTGAAAAAAAAACCGTATTTCTTGTTAATATAATTGGTTAAATCCATATGTGAACAATATGCCATACCATTCTATAGAAAGTTTTAGCGCAGATAACGAGATCTACCGTTATTTATAGTGCATTATCCAATAATACCAACCACTGACGAGAGAACCTCCCCAAATTGCAAATCGTTTTCGGGTTAAAATCTAGTGGGACAGAGGTAATCAAGAATGCTGATTTCGAATATAACAATCATTTTGGCCGATAGGTCTTCAGAGACCGGATTTCTGGAAAACCAGTTTTTCATAGCTCCTAAAAAGTAATCAAAATCTTTGTTAATAAGGCAGGATTGTAGGCCGCAGGTTTTTGATTAAAATGAGACCTCTCCGTGCTCTATACGATCTTTCTTTGCAAAATTGTAGAATTTACGAGAAAAGCCCTAAATTAATTTCTTCTTATTTCTGTATCTTTCAGCTGACAATGAACATTTAAGGCTTTTCTTGCAAACTCTATAACTTTGCAAAGAAAAATCATGTAGAGCTCGGAGAGTCTCCATCCACATGTCGATATAATGGTCATAGGTTTCATATGGATTGTTAACCTTTCCTGGAATCAAACTAACAACCAATTTTTGTACCACATTCTTCTATCCTCTATTTTTCTACGTCCAGTGCACAATATATATCTGGTCGATGGTATGGCTTATTAGCTGGTTGTTCTGCACTTTGTAATTGGTCTGGTACAATTATTAATTATGCTGTACCAGCATTTATTTATTTTCATTTAAATGGATCAAATATTACACCAGAACAAGCTACGAATATTCTAACATTAACAGTATATAGCAGTTATTTACAAGGTACAGTAAATAACTATGAAAATTTTCCTTTGAGAAATATGTCGTATGATTTTGTTTTTGCTATTCTGAAAAGGTAAATTATCAAATTTAAACTCTTATGGTCCACCATGGTCACAAATTTGGACATTAGGAACAAAGATTTCAGCAACATTAGGTAAACAACCACAAGTTTGAGTATATGGAATAGGTTCACCTCTTTTCTCTCGTTTTCAGATCAACTACGTTCCATATCAAATCTCCATCATCATCTATCTACACAAGAACTTTCATTAAGTCGACGTCTATACATTACTTCACCATCATCTCCAATTACACTATCATTATTCAATGTTGATATTCGTATACCATCAACAGATGTATCATCAGTATCATCACTTATACTTGTTAAACACTTAAATTTTACATTAACTAATGATTCATCACTTATAATTACTGGATCAAGTGGTTGTGGAAAAAGTACATTGATAAGATTATTAGCCGGACTACATTACAATTTACCATCTTCGAATGAGAGGAACAGTCAAATAAAAATTTTAAATAGAAATCAAATGATTTTCTTACCACAAAAATTACATTTAATTGCAGGTATAGTAGAGGAGAAAGAGTGAATTTATAATAATGAAGCAGCAGTCACACAGTAGCAAATTTAGAATGATATAGGCAAAAAATGACTTATTGTGGCGCCGTATAAAAAAAATTTCTTAGACCGTGTATCACTGTTTACATGATATTAAGTTAGCGAAAGCAAAAAAGATCAAAATTTTTTGGTTTTCTTTTATTTTATGATCTAAATAGTTTTTTTTGCAGCTTTAGACAAATCTTGAAAATACATTTAGTTTCTTTATAAAAATGATGTTTGCTCTCGTCGAGCCACGAAGTAAGCTATTCCTAAGTCGATGTTCTTGTGGCTTTTCTTGTCCAATTCAGATGAATCTAAACATACTTTTGCCATGCATATACGGTAAACGTGTTGTACAAGAACATCTAAATCAGGCCATTCTTGTCGTTTCTGATTTTTGAAAGAATGTCTGATCTAGAAATTCTTATAAGACAATACTTGTATTCGTTCACATTCTTGTTAAAGCAGAATATGTAAGAAACAAAAGAATTCATTCACGAGAAATATCATCAACTGTCGCATCGATTTTTTAATGAATACTATCGGACTATACATCTTTGTGAGTGCTAATTATAGCCATGGGACCGACTGCTAGGTCATAGAAGATCGATTCATAAAAAAACTTTTGACTCGTTCACGCTGTACAGCATGCTGACTGAACTATAAAACAATAAATTTTAACATGACTTTTTCTTTTTCTTTCTTGAAGAAAGAGCTTTACTCTAGGAGAGAAACAGAAAGAAGGAAAAAATAACTGCATCGAAAGGGAATCAAACGTGGGAAAGACTAGTGAGAAGTTAGACTTCTACTAAGCTATCGACGCCCCATCTAAGGAAGCCATCAAAATTATGATAGGAGCAAACGGAGCAATCGTAGAATTTAAACACCCAAACACTCCTTTTCCATATCTTCAATGACTGGCTCCACCTGTCTAGATATTCTGATCAGCTCACTTTATAGAGAATTTCAAAGGCTATCCAATGGTATATTTTCGAAAAATACATAATTTTTCGTTATGATAGAAAAATGACTAAGGGAGTGTTTAAAGCACTAAGATAAGTGAAAATCATTGTATCGGTCAAGCATTTCGACTACTGATCCGTGTGCGCATATTTCTGAAAGACTTATTTATAGCTCATTTTAAAGCCCAATTCTCTATCTTTCTATATATGAGCTTTGGTCAAGAACTTTGACATCAGTCTTTATTGATAATTCTTTCATTACAAAATGGTTTTCGAAAGAGATACAGTCATTGAATCTTTACAGCAAACATATAGAGCAACTGCATCTGGTATAAACCACTATTATGACTTTATCTCGTTTGAAACTACTTTGTAATGCGAAAACATTATTGTTTTATAGAGAATTCGATATGCTCTACAATGTGGAGGGATCGGAAGATTTTTTTCTAAGTGTAGAAACCGGTCTTCAGAAGGCCCACCGATAGTTGTTTCCATAATTATATTCAGAATCAACATCATCGAAAACGTATAGTCGAATGGTTTTCATTAAAAGCGATGGGACACAGCTGATGATGTTCCCTTGTCAGATTTATCTGAAAATCTGACTTAGACAAGAAACACAGCATTCGTTAATTAGACAGACCAAGCTTTTGACTCATCTTCTTTTAACACATTCGCGGCAATGTGATTCACCGGTGGTAATAAAATAACGACTCAACGAAAAAATTCAAGCAATACCTCATATGATATAAAATTTCACGGGCTACATGATAGGTTACCTTTCAGTCTGTTTTTATTCCACTGGAAATCTCAACATAGTCCTTGTTTCTAAAAAACGTAGCAAGTTACTGAATTCACTACTATTAATGCACAAAAAAAACAAACAAGTATATAAAACTGATATCTTTAATGAGCTTCTGCACCATATTCAGAAATATCACGTTCAGCTGTCAGAGATTTTGGATGAGCTTGTTGTTTCCGTTCAATTACTGTCTCCCGTTTTACTACTAGAGACTAAGTCGTAGCAAGACAGCTAATTAATTCTTTAGTGGGAAAAGAAACCAGACCTACTCAGCATCCAAAAATGAATTCTGAAACTTCTAAGATAGCCTATCTGGTAGCCCGTGAAATTCTGTATCAGATGAAGTTTTTCGTTGAGTTGTTATTTTACACATGGGACTTTAAGCTAACGTTAATTGGTACTAATTAGTCAATAGAAGGAAGGAAAGTACAAAATTTTTTACTTCTTTTCTCGTATTAAATATTCTCCACACATATCTCTATCGGTTCAGACAAGAACCAAGTTTTTATGATGAATGGAGGATAGATAGAAAATTTTTTAATAATAGCCCCGTGCTCATAAACTTAACAACGTTTTTTTAAATCATTAATCTTTTTCTCAGCCAAATAATGTAAATAAGCTGAGAAAACTTTAGGACATATACTTCGAAGCATCCTCCACAAACTGGGAAGGCATGAAGAAAAAGCTAAAAAATTCAAAGCTTGAAAATATCGCTGGTTTTTGGCTTCAGCTCCGGCTGCTGCACGCTGTGGCGTGTACGCGACTTGAAAATAATTTACCTTACATATTTAGCAATTAAATAGAAACTTGCAGGTATGCATATCACGTGACCTAGCGATGGGCTACATCAAACATGCTGGGACCCACCGGTGGGTCCCAGCATGTTTGATGCGAATGTGTTAATCTTAGTATGATTCTCAGAGCACGATATAAATCATAAACTTGCAATAGGATGAAAAGTGTGACTACTCGCAGATCAGTCTGTTCTTTAGATTCCTTGTTTCAAAGATATTTTACTTAATTCTACGAGTATGCTTACCGTTTTTTCTCTTTCTCTCTTTGTCATCATCATTGTAGGTACATTACGTGAACAATTATTATATCTAAATCAAGCTAAATCATCATGTTTAAACACAACAACACAATTACATGATGATCAATATATTTTTAATTTATTACGCAAAGTTAATTTATATTATTTAATTGAACGTTATACATTAGATTCCACATCTAAAACACCACATCAATGGTCACGTCTATTATCAATTGGTGAACAACAACGTTTAATTATTTGTAGTGCACTATTAGCTGGTAGTAATATAAAATGTTTAATATTAGATGAAACAACAAGTGGATGTGATCGTCAAACAGAAGAATCTGTATATCATTTATTAAAAGAGAAACAAATACAATATATAAGTATTAGTCATCGTTCAGATGAATTAGCTAAATTTCATACACATCAATTAAAAATAATACAAAATAGTTTTGAATTTATAAAATTATGAATGTGAGAAAGAATGTGACAATAATAACAAAAATTTTGATGATTGTGCAGATTTTGTGTGTGTGTGTGTGATACTTTAGTGTAAATAATACTACAATGTCCTCTTTTGTTCATTATTTAAAAATAAATAAATTCTCATTCCTAAAGTAAATCCAATGTGCACATACCTTAGTGTGGTTTCTGCTTGTGTACCGCGCATACCGTATCATGGTTAGTGTATAGTTGAAGAAACAAAATTCTTATTTCAGATACGGATTTCCAATTCTGTATTTATTGTTGAGATATGGTCACTTGTTCAACCGTCACACATTGAAAAAGAATAAATATTATCTTGCTACATTTTCAACTTGTCATGTACAAAAGAACAGTAGCAGTAAAGATATAGAATTCAAGCCAAAACTTTCCACATGCTTAAATTCAGTCTATTTCACTCCTCAACGTATAGTAGATAAACATCAGTCATATCTGTGAGACAGCGTCTGTATTTACCAAGCCCTAAATCACTCACCGATTAACATATCAATTCGATACTAATTCAATATTAATTACCACATCTCTATTCTAGGTGTCATGATTCTCCGTCAAACTTTCATCTTTAGATTCTTTTCTAAAATATACACAAAGACAATGGCGATACCTAGATAGAAAAGCCCTGGAAGTATCTGGAAGTAAAATAGGAAGCATTTGCAACTATTTTTACTGAAAATCACATTGGGTCATTTTCAACTACTACACAAGAGAACACTGTATACTTTTTCCTATCATGAACCTAACCATGGTTTTCTCGTTAATTTGTTTACTGTTGTAATATCGATGGAGAGTTTTTATTTAAACTAAATACCAATATTTACCCTAACTGGAAACTATTAGAACTGTCATTGTGCATTGAACGATATAATATTAAAAGTTTCTTGTTTCAGTATAGATTGGCGGCTGCGCTTGAACTGGTTTTACTTGCATTAACATAGGTTGCATCATAGATGGTTGAACGACTGCGGATGTAGGATCAGCAGCTTTAAAACAGATGAATTTGTAAGAGACATTCTTCCTTGTCTTTTACACGAAGATATATTTTTCTTTTTTTGATACACACTTACCTCTGCTTTTAAGTTCTCTAGCCTCTTGACCTAGAAGAATCGAATATTATAGTGTCATACAAATCAATAGTGAAGAGACATGATACATGGTTCGCTTACATACTGCACAAAATGGACAACAACAAGTCACCAAACAATCGTTATGGTTCTCAACTAAATTATATTTCATTCTTAGTTTTTGTCTTTTTCCCATATGCACAATGAATCCCAATGGAAATATGAGCACCGAACAGCGGCGTATCCAGGGGGGGGGGGGGGCAAATGGGGCGTTTGCCAGTTACTTTGAGCAGTTTGGC